GGCTGGGCTCTGAGCATCTCCCTTGGTCCCTTTTTTGGGGGGGCCTTTGGCTCTTGGCTGGGCTCTGAGCATCTCCCTCCGTCCCTTTTGGGGGGGGCCTTTGGCTCTTGGCTGGACTCTGAGCATCTCCCTCGGTCCCTTTTGGGGGGGCCTTTGGCTCTTGGCTGGGCTCTGAGCATCTCCCTCGGTCCCTTTGGGGAGGGGGCCTTTGGCTCTTGGCTGGGCTCTGAGCATCTCCCTCGGTCCCTTTTGGGGGGGCCTTTGGCTCTTGGCTGGGCTCTGAGCATCTCCCTCTGTCCCTGGGGGGGGCTTTGGCTCTTGGCTGGGCTCTGAGCATCTCCCTAGGTCCCTTGGGGGGGCCTTTGGCTCTTGGCTGGGCTCTGAGCATCTCCCTCGGTCCCTGGGGGGGGGGGCTTTGGCTCTTGGCTGGGCTCTGAGCATCTCCCTCGGTCCCTTGGGGGGGGCCTTTGGCTCTTGGCTGGGCTCTGAGCATCTCCCTCGTCCCTTGGGGGGGGCCTTTGGCTCTTGGCTGGGCTCTGAGCATCTCCCTCGGTCCCTTTGGGGGGGCCTTTGGCTCTTGGCTGGGCTCTGAGCATCTCCCTCGGTCCCTTGGGGGGGCCTTTGGCTCTTGGCTGGGCTCTGAGCATCTCCGTCTGTCCCTGGGGGGGGCTTTGGCTCTTGGCTGGGCTCTGAGCATCTCCCTCGGTCCCTTTTTTTGGGGGGGGCCTTTGGCTCTTGGCTGGGCTCTGAGCATCTCCCTCGGTCTCTTTTTGGGAGGCCTTTGGCTCCTGGCTGGGCTCTGAGCATCTCCCTCGGTCCCTTTGGGGGGGGCCTTTGGCTCCTGGCTGGGCTCTGAGCATCTCCCTCGGTCCCTTTTTGGGGGGGCCTTTGGCTCCTGGCTGGGCTCTGAGCATCTCCCTCGGTCCCTTTTGGGGGGGGCCTTTGGCTCCTGGCTGGGCTCTGCGCATCTCCCTCGGTCCCTTTTGGGGGGTCTTTGGCTCTTGGCTGGGCTCTGAGCATCTCCCTCGGTCCCTTTGGGGGGGGCCTTTGGCTCTTGGCTGGGCTCTGAGCATCTCCCTCGGTCCCTTTGGGGGGGGCCTTTGGCTCTTGGCTGGGCTCTGAGCATCTCCCTCGGTCCCTTTGGGGGGGGCCTTTGGCTCTTGGCTGGGCTCTGAGCATCTCCCTCGGTCCCTTTGGGGGGGGCCTTTGGCTCTTGGCTGGGCTCTGAGCATCTCCCTTGGTCCCTGGGGGGGGGGGGGCTTTGGCTCTTGGCTGGGCTCTGAGCATCTCCCTAGGTCCCTTGGGGGGGGGCCTTTGGCTCTTGGCTGGGCTCTGAGCATCTCCGTCTGTCCCTGGGGGGGGGGGCTTTGGCTCTTGGCTGGGCTCTGAGCATCTCCCTCGGTCCCTTGGGGGGGGCCTTTGGCTCTTGGCTGGGCTCTGAGCATCTCCGTCTGTCCCTGGGGGGGGGGGCTTTGGCTCTTGGCTGGGCTCTGAGCATCTCCCTCGGTCCCTTTTTTTGGGGGGGCCTTTGGCTCTTGGCTGGGCTCTGAGCATCTCCCTCGGTCTCTTTTTGGGAGGCCTTTGGCTCCTGGCTGGGCTCTGAGCATCTCCCTCGGTCCCTTTGGGGGGGGCCTTTGGCTCCTGGCTGGGCTCTGAGCATCTCCCTCGGTCCCTTTTTGGGGGGGCCTTTGGCTCTTGGCTGGGCTCTGAGCATCTCCCTCGGTCCCTTTGGGGGGGGCCTTTGGCTCTTGGCTGGGCTCTGAGCATCTCCCTCGGTCCCTTTGGGGGGGGCCTTTGGCTCTTGGCTGGGCTCTGAGCATCTCCCTCGGTCCCTTTGGGGGGGGCCTTTGGCTCTTGGCTGGGCTCTGAGCATCTCCCTCGGTCCCTTTGGGGGGGGGCCTTTGGCTCTTGGCTGGGCTCTGAGCATCTCCCTTGGTCCCTTTTGGGGGGGGCCTTTGGCTCTTGGCTGGGCTCTGAGCATCTCCCTCCGTCCCTTGGGGGGGGCCTTTGGCTCTTGGCTGGGCTCTGAGCATCTCCCTCGGTCCCTTTTTGGGGGGGCCTTTGGCTCTTGGCTGGGCTCTGAGCATCTCCCTCGGTCCCTTGGGGGGCCTTTGGCTCTTGGCTGGGCTCTGAGCATCTCCCTCGGTCCCTTTGGGGGGGGCCTTTGGCTCCTGGCTGGGCTCTAAGCATCTCCCTCGGTCCCTTTTGGGGGGGCCTTTGGCTCTTGGCTGAGCTCTGAGCATCTCCCTCGGTCCCTTTGGGGGGGCCTTTGGCTCTTGGCTGGGCTCTGAGCATCTCCCTCGGTCTCTTTTTGGGGGGCCTTTGGCTCTTGGCTGGGCTCTGAGCATCTCCCTCGGTCCCTTTTTTTGGGGGGGCTTTGGCTCTTGGCTGGGCTCTGAGCATCTTCCTCGGTCTCTTTGGGGGGGGCCTTTGGCTCTTGGCTGGGCTCTGAGCATCTCCCTCGGTCCCTTTGGGGGGGGCTGAAGAAGTGTGTATCTGAAGAAGTGTGCATGCACACGAAAGCTCATACCAAGAACTAACTTAGTTGGTCTTTAAGGTGCTACTGGAAGGAATTTTTTTGTTTTGACTATGGCAGACCAACACGGCTACCTATCTGTAACTTCCCCACTATTTACTGCTGACAATACTTCCCCATTTTTACAGTGCCTCTTGAAATCTCACTAGCGTTGTGTTCGTACCACATATGTTTTTCAGATAATCTACAAACTTTCCCCAGTCTTCGATGAACTTTTGGTCTTTGGTATATCTAATTTTCCCAGTTAATTTATCCAATTCCGCATAGTCTGTCAATTTCGGTCTCCATTCTTCTATTGTCGGTATTTCTTCTTGTTTCCATTTCTGGGCAATTAAGATTCTGGCCGCCGTTGCCGCATATTGAAAGAGTTTACAGTCTTGTCTTCTTATATCCTTTCCTACAATCCCTAAGAGAAAAGCCTCCGGTCTTTTTACAAAAGTATATCTTAACATTTTTTTCATTTCATTGTATATCATTTCCCAAAAGCTTTTCACTTTCTTAAATTCCCACCACACATGAAAGAACGTCCCTTCTTTTTCTTTACATTTCCAACATTTGTTACACATCTTATACATCTTACCTAACTTTACTGGTGTAATGTACCATCTATAAAACATTTTCATAACATTTACTTTCAGTGACGTACATGCAGTAAATTTTATATTCTCTTTCCACAATTTTTCCCATTCATCCAATTGAATATTGTTCCCAAAATCTTTTGCCCATTGTATCATTACCGTTTTAACCTCTTCATCTTTGGTATGCCATTCCAACAATACCTTATACATTTTTGACAGCGTTTTATATTCATTGTTTATTATATCCCTTTGAAAGTTAGATTCTTTTTCTACATAGCCCTTTTCCTTCAAATCTTTTTTAAACATTTCATTTACTTGAAAATAAAACTTCCCGAGACATCTTGTCAGGCCCACAGATCACTGCTTCTGTTCCCCTCAGTAGGGAATCCCCTATCACCACTACACGCCTCCTCTTAGGTTTGGTCGGGGTTCTTCCGTGAGCTGTCCGTTCCAAGGTCGCCTGCACATTCCCTGAGGACTGACTTTGCTGCTCGTCTTCATATACCTGATCGACTGTAATGAGGGAGAGATCCTCAAATGGAGTCTGCTCTTCGTCTTCCATGCTAGGGGGAGAGGACCTCAAAGCGATTGTGTATTTCTAAACAATCAGAGCGAACCCTGGGCCTCCTACTTCTTTGAGTCACGTTTCTCCATATATCTGGCTCCTGTGTTGGTGAACTAGCCTCCTTCTCAGGGGAGTCCCCTGTCTCCTCCTTGGTGGAGACGGTGTGCTCTGTTGCTTCCAAGAAGAGCTCCAGCTCTCTAATTCTTTGGAGCGTAGCTACACGTTCCTCCAGTTGCTGGACTTTGTCTTTTAAGAGGGCAATCAACATGCAATTGCTGCAGGTAAAGCTGCCTGCAACCTTTGGCAAGATGGCAAACATTGCGCAGGAACCGCAGGCGACTGCAGCTGTTCCCTCTCCCTCCATCTTGAGAACGTGTCGTTGGGGGTGGCTACAGCGGTCCTCCTTCATAAAAAGCGTGAAGACAGGACAAATAACTCCCCCCCAAAAAAAAAAAACACCTAGGTCTCCCCCAACAAACGTTTGAGACTAGCTCCCCTGAATCTAAAAGATGGATCAAACTGCACAGGGAGAGCAGCTAATCAGCCACAAAGAAACACACACACAAGAAAACCCTTTTTCTCCTTCTTCAGCTGCTGCCCTGCAAGCTCTGCCCTAGGCCCACATTCAATACATCATACAGCAGAACAGGTATAACAAGATAAAATTAATAAATTAAATTACATTTAAATCAAGTACATCTCAATCCGTAAGTTTCTAAATTCCATTAAAATAAAAACAATATAGCGCTTAAAATATCAAATTATCAGTATAAATCAATATTATTTAGGCAAAATCAATAATCATAGAGTAATCCATTTTTCCTTTTATAGGCTAATACTGTTATCAGAAATCTGGCAACAGAAAGGGACCTACTCGGATAAGAATCTTGCAATAAATGTATTAGCTGTGTTTCCAAGGAGTCACCTGAGATTTCCAATAATAAAGGGGACAAAAATCTGACCCGAGAAACCGAATGTAGTGAACAACAGAATAGTATATGTTGTAAAGATTCTATAGATCTATTATCACATACACACACTGCTGAGATCCGACCATTGGAAAATCTATTATTCAAGACATTGGAAGGAAAGGCGCTAAATCTTGCCTTAATAAAGGCATATCTGTGGGCCGCTACAGACAAAGAAGTCAAATAAGATGGTATCTGCTGTGAGGGCACTATGCCAAGATTTAATGGTGAGCAAGTGCCACTACCCAAAATGGTGTTTTGTTGTAGGTCAATCTCCTCAAGTTTTTGAGTGAGGGTTTTTTTTTGCTGTGGCTAGGTCCAATTCCAATAATTCTGATGGAGACAATCCATAGGTCACTACTTTGGAATGGATCTCTTTTGCCCCTAGGACGGGAAAATTATCTCTCCAGAGGCATTGGATCAAATACAGATTCAGGAGCCTATGCCTTAAGGACAACCAGTAACAAAGGCTGCGCCTCCAAAGAGTATTTTCTAAAGATGTAGTTTTTAATTCTAAGCGAATAGCTGCATTACTAACGCACTGAGGAAGTTTTAGCAGTCGTCTTAGAAATTGGTTTTGAATTACCTCCAAGGACATCTAGTTTACTGCGGTCCCCCATAAAGGAACAGCATATGCCAATGTTGCAATTACTTTAGCTTTGAATACTTTCAGGGCAGATGGAACATGAAGAGCCCCGTCCGAAAAGAAAAAGTGCAAAAATGCAAAGGATAGGGCCTTGGCCTTGTTTAAAATATGTGCAATATGTGCCTTCCAACCCAGATTATATTGGAGAAAAACTCCCAGGTATTGAAATTTATAGACCTGTTCAATAGGTTTTCCATCTAATTGCCACTTATAGGATTTCCAATTTTTTGAGAAGATTAGTACTTTTGATTTAGATTGATTTATAGTGAGGGAATTTGTTTTACAATATGAAACAAAGAATTTTAATGCTCTCCTGAGGCCAATTCTTGAGAAGGATAAAATCACAGCAGCATCAGCATAGAGTAATAGTGGGCAACGATAGTTTGCGAGGCGGGGGGCATGGGTGATTTCCTGAGATTCGGCCAATGGTATCCTCATGTCACTAATGAATAAATTGAAAAGAAAAGGAGCTAGGATACATCCTTGCCGGACTCCTCTGTTGATGGGCACAGAGTTTGTGAGATCGCCGGCTGGAGTTATTCTCACCCTAGCAGCCGACCCCTCATGCAGCTGGATTATTAACCATAAAAGTCTTCTATCAATTCCCCATCGGGCCAACTTTTCCCAGAGTAACCTTCTGGGGACGCTGTCAAATGCAGCCTTAAGGTCGATAAAAGCCGCACAAAGTTGGCCTCGGTTTGAAGAGGAATATTTCTGGGCTAGATGGTGCAAGACTAAAACATGGTCCGTAGTTGACTGGTTCGGTCTGAATCCTGCTTGCTCAGGGCCTATCAGTTCCTTTTCTTCAGCCCATTGGGTAAGTCTATTCAGCAGAAAACGTGCGTATATCTTTCCAACTATTGACAGTAAACTAATATTCCTATAATTCTCCGGATCGTCTGGGGAGCCTTTTTTATATATTGGAATTATAATAGCGTCCTTCCATATTTTTGGCACCCTTCCAGTTGCATTAATAGCATCGAAAGTAACAGCCAGGATTTTTGCCCACCAGTCGGAATGTAGTTTTATGGCTTCCGCCGGAACCAAATCTGGCCCAGGGGCTTTGCCGATTTTAAGTTTAGAGATTAAATTCAAGATTTCATCGGGGTCAGTAGGAGGCCAGATGGGGAGATGGTCAAATACATCATCAAGAGCGTTGGTATTGGAATCTGGTGACGCAAAATATTTCCTTAAAAAGGATTCCCAGACCGGGGCAGGAATTATTGTTAAGGGATATCTCCTTAATCTTCTATTAACCAATTGCCAAAATTGCTGTGAGCTACGTGAACTAGAGGCGACTATTAGCGCCTGCCAGCGATTTTGTTGCCACTCTTGCTTAGCCATTCTCTGGGCTTGCTTATATGCTGTTTTTGCTTGCTGGTAATTCCTAGGTAATACTAAAGCACCAGAAGATTTGTATTCATTGTAAATGGCACAGAGATGTCGTCTAGCTTGTTTGCATTTTAAGTTAAACCAAGGGGCACCGGTCTTAAAATGGGCCGGATTTACTTGGATGGCTGGTATTGTAAAAAAGGACATAAGATCTTCTGTAAGTAGAGAGAATGAATTCATAATTTGTTCATGCCCATACAGATCTAAATCTAAAACATGAGTTTGAATTATCTCTTGTTGGAAGAATTCCATATATTTTTGGGCTTGAGTTACTGACCATTTTATTCCTCTCACTTGTTCTGCAGTATTTATTCTCATATATATGGGGTGTCTGGACTCGATAGACTGCCAGTCTAGGGAAAGCTTGGCACTCAAGGGGAGATGGTTGCTCATTTGGACGTTTTCTATTTTAAAATAAGAAAAATTTGAGAATAAATCTCTGGAAACAATAAAATAATTGAGAACACTATTTGTAAGTGTGCTCAAATGAGTAAACTCACCCGGAATATCCGGGGGACAATTTCTGTTTAAAATTATCAAATTCAAACGTAAAATCAGTTGATAAAGAAGGGTTCCCGCTTCGTTAACCCTATTATCTTTCGATTTTCTCTGTATATGGGGGGAGAAATCCAAGTTCTGGTGATCAGGTATGACCCACCATTTGGCCTTGCCTAGCGCTTCCCAGTTTGCAGCTGTACGAGCATTAAAATCACCTCCCATGACTGCTGAGGTGTTTGGGAACTTAGTATAACAGAAAGCAAGGTGTTCTTCAAGTGTTTCCCATTTGGAATGGAGGTCCACTGCCTGCCCCCCCCGGGGGGAATAAACATTTGTTACCAGTAGTTCAAATTTCCCTCCTGAAATCAGTCCTGTAATCGCGTAAGGAGAGGAAGATTTAACAAGTGTAAGTTTTGCTTGCAATTTGAGGGAAATGGCTATTGCCAAACCTCCCCTAGGGCGTCCACCTTTAAGAGAGGGGCTAGCTGGAAGGAAAATGGTATCGTATCCATTTATGTCAATCACCTCCTCTTCCCAAGTTTCTTGCAGGAGAATTACTTGGAATAAATTAACAAATTTTAAGAAGTCTGGATGAGATTTCTTCCCCCTCCATCCCGCAATATTCCAGCATAAAAATGACATCAAGGGGTGGCTGGGTTGGTCGTTAGGTAGTCAGATCATGTGGGAATGGGATTCTAACTTTGGGGGAGTTTCAGCTTCAAAAAAATCGGTAATTTTCCTTTGAGAAGGTGGCAATCGTGCTATACATCCCAACTGTTTAGATTTATTGGGGTGGTTTGGCTGTAAAGTCGTGCCACTCGTCTCGCTAAAGGCAGATGTTTGGCCTAAGATAGTCGACTTTTCAGAGCCAGATGGTAGAATTAGGGGGGTATTACTTACAGAGAGCGAATTTAAGTCAACAGGTATTGTGCCACTAGTTGAGTGATCATTAATTGTTTGGATAGTTTTGTTAATACGACCTGTCGGGTCTTCAACCAGATCATTCTTCGGGGCTAAAAATAAAATGGAGTCGTCTCTCATTTGTTGGTCTGGTTCAGCTGGTTCTGTTACCGGTTCGATGGTATCTATGGATTTATTCAACTTGCACACGTTAGAAGAGAGTGGGTTAATAAAGTTACAAGTAAGTGGACCCATATGGGGCACTTTACATGGAGAGCCTAATTCAGATTCGTTAAGTTCCCTCATTTTGTCCCAGGCAGATGTTGTAGCCATATTTGCCTCAGAGATGGGGTGCATGATAGATGGGTCTGGTGCTGGGGTTTCCGCCTCCAGAATATGGGAGAGTGGATTCATCTCCACAACAACCAGTTGGCTGGTAGGGGTGGGTGCCTTCCCAACCCACAGGTCCAGTTCTTGGTGGTATAAGCGAGGGACAGAATCTGAACCACAGTCTCTATCAAGCATATTTTGTTTAGGTAATCTCAGCTGTTCCTCCGTCACTTTTGTCAGGCAGAAGTAAAGGGTATCAATTTTATGAAGTATTTCTTTCTGAACCTCTTGTGGGAGAACGCTATAAGAGTGGAGTAAGTTATTATCAAAGCTACCAAGGTCGATTCCCTGATTCTCCGCATACCTGGGCCCAAGGGAGTCCAACCTTTGAGAGTCCTTGGCAACCAGACCAGTAGGATGTTTGGAGATGTCCTCCGCAGAGTTTATATCAATTAGAACGTGTTGGTCAATCTCATGTTGAGTTTTTGGCAAATTTACAATATGGGGGATAAGTGGAATTGGAGGTGCTTCATTTTTAAAGGACCTTGAGATTCTTATACCACTCGTCTCCAGTTGTTCTCTACATTTGTACACTAGTTTTGCCAGTCTCCCCTCATAGAATGAGACCACCGCTCTGGCAAGGAATCAATTGAAGTATAGATATTCCACTTGGGCCAAATCAGTAGGGTTATTAAGGATGCCCAGCATATAGATCTTTAAAAGGTTCAATAGATGGGCTTTACGCTCTTCTTGTGACAGGAGTCCTGGGGGTTTAGGATAATTTGATAAAACGAGTTTGTTTCGGTACAGCACCAGATTCCAGTTTTTATTTGTTAGGTTTGTCTGATTTCTCTTCTTAGAGGGATTGGTTTCATCTACAGATAGAATGTAAGTCCATGGATCTTGGATCAAAATGTCTTGCTTGGAGTTAGGCGTTGGGGTAGGTGTTAAGGGTTCCAAGCAATCCATCACAGCGTCAGGGCAAGGGTTAGAAGTTTCTCAGTGTTCCCACTGGTCTCGGTTATTGGGATACTCTTGAGAAGATTAAAGAGCTTTTTAAAATCCATTTTTTTGTAACGCACTGCCTTAAAATTTTTAACATTTCTGCTCTTTTTCACCCTTATGGGCCTCCTTTTCAAGGCAGTAGCCCTACAAGATCTCTTGGCCTTCCTTGGTGATCTGTTTTTGCAGGTGGTAGGAAGGAAGTTGTTATTACTTTCCAATTCTACAGTCACCCCGCTGGATTCCCTACAGAGAGTTTTGCAAGTCTCCATCATTATAGTGAGGATTTTTGTACAGGTGGCCAGATGAGATTTTATATTTTCGATATCCTCAGTTAAAAGCACAAGCCATTTGATAACTGATAAATCCTCATCCTCATTTGTCTCAAGTTGGAAGCAGGAGTCTCTTGATGTTTTAGGGTTTCCCGAAGAGATCTCTGCAATTTGTTTTAACATTAGTTCTTCCACTTCTCGGACTTGAGATGGTTCAGGAGAAGCTTGGGATTTAAGTCTCTGTTTTGGGAGTACTTTGGTGACTGTACCAATTATGTTTGGATTTACTTTGGGCTTTATTGGTCCTTTGTTGTGCCATTCTTCTACACAATCCTCTCTCTGCACAGCCGGCCCTTCAGTGCAGGAGGGAGAAGTTTCAGTTTCCTGCTGATTCTCACTCGGCTTGACTTTACCCCTATTCTTAAAGGGCTGGGTGCTTTTTGTTTGGGCTCCCTTTAGGGCAGCTCTTTTAGAGAGAGGTCTTAGATCACTCCGATAAAAGCCTGGTGTTCTACAGCCACTCCTGGTCGTCACCATTGTTTATCTTGTAGAGGTCAAGTTGGTAAAAATCTCACCTCGGTTCATTAGCTCCATCGGGTGTTACAGCAGGGCTCTCCGCAAGACTACTTCCAAGGTAGGCAAGTAATTGAGACCAATTTGCTGAACTCCTTTGCCGTGGCCCCTTTCTGGGTCGTGTTGCCCTCCTAGCTCAGTGGGAAAGCATCCGAGATAACAAGGAAGTAAAACCATTAAATGATAAAATAGGGCAGTAAAACAATAAAATAAAACAATAAAAGGACAATAAAACTATAAAATGGTGAGAGCAGCTGCCTCACCCTGCCTCACAGATCGGTGGCCATCTTGGATCTCCCTGTAACTGGGCTTCTCGCAGTGAGGGAACCGCCAGAAGGCCCTCGGTGCTGGACCTCAGTGTCCAGGCAGAACAACGGGGGTGGAGACGTTCCTTCAGATATACTAGACCGAGGCAGTTTAGAGCTTTAAAGGTCAGCACTAACACTTTGAATTGTGCTCGGAAACGCACTGAGAACCAATGTAGGTCTTTCAAGACCGGTGTTACGTGGTCTCGGCAGCCGCTCCCAATCACCAGTCTAGCTGCCGCATTCTGGATTAGTTGTAGTTTCTGAGTCACCTTCAAAGGTAGCCCCACGTAGAGCGCATTGCAGTAGTCCAAGCGGGAGATACCCAGAGCATGCACCACTCTAGCGAGACAGTCCGTGGGCAGGAAGGGTCTCAGCCTGCGTACCAGGTGGAGTTGGTAGACAGCTGCCCTGGACACAGAATTGACCTGTGCCTCCACGGACAGCAGAGAGTCCAAAATGATTCCCAGGCTGCGCACCTGGTCCTTCAGGGGCACAGTTACCCCATTCAGGACCAGGGAGTCCGCCACACCTGCCCGCCTCCTGTCCCCCCAAAACAGTACTTCTGTCTTGTCAGGATTCAACCTCAATCTGTTGGCCGCCATCCATCCTCCAACCGTCTTTGAGACGCCTATGTTGGATATAGGGTCCATAAGCAATGTTGCTAATGTTATTAACATCACTGGTATGTTGGGGTGGGGATGAGGGTGTTGATATCCTCTGGCAGCCCCAATGTGCTGCTTGTTTGTCAGATTTCAGCCTGTTTGTGGATTGTTTTATTGAGGTTAGGGTGAAACAGGACCACCTGGAGGAATTTTACCCATCTCTGCGGAGGTGTGAGGCTGGGGGGATATTGATCGTGTTAGCTGTATTGATGGCTTGGGGGGAGAGGAAAAGGAGGAGGGGTCACCCCCTCAGTTCCTTCATCCAAGTTGTTCATAAAGACGTTGAACAACAACGGGCCCAGGACAGAACCCTGCAGCACCCCTCTTGTCACTTTTCCCCAGGATGAGGAGGAACCATGGAGGAGGACTGTTTGGGTTCGGTTACTCATTCAGCCCACATTTTAGAAGCTTAAAGGCAAAAATATTATGGGGGACTTCGTCAAAAGCCTTACTGAAATAATGATGCACTATTTCCACAGCTGTTCCCTGATCAACAAAGTTTGTAACTCCATCCAAAAAAAAGGGGAGGAGAGATTTCTCTGGCTTGACTTGTTTTTGGGAAAGCCATGCTTTCATCTTGTATGTTTATGTTGTGAAATCTTCAATTGGAGGGCACATAAATATTAAAAATGATACTGAATAAGGATATTGACAAACTGGAACATGTGCAAAGGAAGGCGATTTATGTATTTATTTAATTTGTATACCACTCAACCCAGTAGTGCCGACTTGAATAAAATATTGGTGGGAGGGGAGGAAGGTAAGGCCTGCTTTGCACAATCAATCACATGATGCATAAAGGGCATTGGAATGGCAATGCCTATCAACTGGGGGGCGTGGCCCCCTAAAATATATCATAGGGGGCAAAACCCCCTCAGCCTCTAGGTGTTGACTCCTGTTTCCACATGTCTCAGGATGGTTACAACATAAAAACACAACATAGAATCACAAAATGCACATCAGTAACTCAACTCCCCACCACATTTTAAAAGGGCCTTAGATGTCAATCAGCCAAAAGCCTGGTTAACAAGGTGCGGATTTGCCTGGCTCCTAAAGCTATAGAATGAAGGGTTTCTCCCCTGTATGAATTCTTTGATGGGAAGTGAGATTGGAGTTCTTATTGAAGCTCTTTCCACATTCCATACACTGATAGGGTTTCTCCCCTGTATGAATTCTTTGATGGGAAGTGAGGTCATATCTCTTCCTGAAGCTCTTTCCACATTCAATGCACTGATAGGGTTTCTCCCCTGTATGAATTCTCTGATGGGAAGTGAGATGGGAGTTCTCCCTGAAGCTCTTTCCACATTCCCCACACTGATAGGGTTTCTTCCCTGTATGAATTCTCTGATGGGAAGTGAGACTGGAGCTCATACAGAAGCTCTTTCCACATTCCCCACACTGATAGGGTTTCTCCCCTCTATGAATTCTCTGATGGGAAGTGAGATTGCCACTCTGACTGAAGCTCTTTCCACATTCCCCACACTGATAGGGTTTCTCTCCTGTATGAATTCTCTGATGGGAAGTGAGACTGGAGCTCATACAGAAGCTCTTTCCACATTCCCCACACTGATAGGGTTTCTCCCCTGTATGAATTCTCTGATGGGAAGTGAGATTGGAGTTCTTATTGAAGCTCTTTCCACATTCCCCACACTGATAGGGTTTCTCCCCTGTATGAATTCTCTGATGAGAAGTGAGATCATGGCTGTGACTGAAGCTCTTTCCACATTTCATGCACTGATAGGGTTTCTCCCCTGTATGAATTCTCTGATGGGAAGTGAGATGGGAGTTCCCCCTGAAGCTCTTTCCACATTCCCCACACTGATAGGGTTTCTCCCCTGTATGAATTCTCTGATGGGAAATGAGATGGGAGCTCGTCCTGAAGCTCTTTCCACATTCCATGCACTGATAGGGTTTGTCTCCTGTATGAATTCTCTGATGCTTAGTGAGATTGGAGCTCTGACTGCAGCCGTCTCCACACTGCAAATTTTTGCATGGCTTCTCCTCTCTGGGGATTTTGTCGTGTTCACCTTTGTTCTCGATTTCCAATTCATCACAATCTGCAATGGAGACAAAAAGGTATTAGAGCCTCAGGAACAGATGAAGAAGAACTAAAGGGAGTTGCGTGTGTGTTCATTACCTTTGTGGTTTGTCATTAACCAACATATTTCTTATTAGATTCTGTTGGGTTGTTGAATGTTGCTTTCTTTGATATACTGTAGTGGTAAAATTGTGAAAGCCTTTTAGAAAAAAGTGCATTTCAGATGTTTGATGGCTCATAACACCACTTCTTTTGGAGTACAATGGATGCTCGGGTTGCAAACATGATCCGTGTGGGAGACATGTTCGCAACTCGCAGCGTTCGCAACCTGCAGCGTTGCATCTGCACATGGGTGGGTTGTAATTTGGTGGTTCTGTGCATGTGCAAGCACTGAAACTTGGAAATAACCCATTCCGGTACTTCCAGGTTCAGCTCAGTGCGCAATCCGAAAACACGCAACCTTAAGCGACTGTAACTCGAGGTATGACTGTAATACCATAATATTATATAGCAATGGAAAGATAATTTAATCAAGAATGTAGTGCAACAAAGTTTGTTCAATTATCTGTATTCTATCAAAGGTTATAGACATATAACCAGAAAAGGGAAGCACAACTTGCTTAGGTTGACTTTTGTCAGTGTATTATGGGATTGCTATCAATTTGGTTGGTAGTTACCCAGAAAGAGATGTAAAATCGTACTATTAAGTGAACAAGGCTACAGGTATGAAGAAATTAGAAGGAAGATTGGGGAAAACTTAACCAAAGCTGGTCCATATTTTTGAAGCGGTATAAGAGACTCAGTCACTCCAAAATCAGACTGGTAAAGGCAGGAAAAGGTGCACAACAGCAATTGAAGAATGGAGAGACTGTGCCTGCATGACAGAAGAAAATCATTACATTCTTCATTAAATTATTTTTCCATTGATATATAATTTTATGCTATTACTCCCAAAAAAGTGGTGTCATGAGGTATCAAAGCTCTGAAATACACTTTCTCCAAAAGGTTTCCACAATTTTGGCCACTAGTGTAAGTTGTTCATTTTAAAGTTAATGTACTTTTTATATGGGGACAGATTGTTATTGTCAGGGGTTCAGGGGAAGAGGCACAGATGAGGGAGGAGACCGAGAGCGAGGGGGAAGAATCCCAGAACGACGAGGAAGAGGATGACAATGACTTGAGGGATTCCATGAGTCTTTCAAGTGAATCGGAGGATTCCCAAAAGGGGACGCCTGTGGTCAGGCCAAGGTGAGTCACAGGGGGGACCCGTCAGGAGCAGGGGAGAAGCAGGGGAACCCCGAGTGGGAGTTGGGAATCGGGGCCGGCTTCTCCGCCGGAACGGAGTGAAGGGGGTGTAGTTTCCAGTGTGACAGGAGAAGCAGAGCAGGAAGCAGAGAGGGGAAGGAGATCGGGGGAAGACATCCTCCCGGAAGGGGCGGAGAGTAGTACAGGGAGTAGTGTAACTGTCAAGAGGAAGGTCAGAGGGAGTGAACGCGCGCCAAGTTCAAATGTGGAGGCGCGCGGAAATACAGAGCCCGGAGGAGGAGCCAGGTCCCAAAGCACGCAGGAGGGGGGAAGAGTTGTCTGGGGATTCAGCGTCAGGGGAATCCAGGAGGGGCGAAACCCCAGGGGGCAGGAAGACCCTGCGGAAAAGGAAGGAACGGAAGAGGTGGAGCAGGACAAGCCTCTTAAACTGGTGTAGAGGCGGGACTGACTCAGAGGGGACTTCAGCGGTCTAAGCGTAACAGACGTGGGGCTGCGCACCTCGGCTGTGGAGCGTACAATGTACTGCAATAAAGATCTTTGTATATAAAGTGGACTTGGCGTTGGTCTCTTGTGAGCTGGGACCTGAGGCGGCCCTGACAGTTATGATTAATTTTTCTGGTTTATATAAGTGTTGGAAGCTGCCCAGAGCAGCTGGGGCAACCCAGCCAGATGGGCAGAGTAAAAATAAAAATTACTATTATTATTATTATTATTATTATTACTGCTACTACTACTACTATAAGCCTGGCTCTTCTCTGGGATGGATTTTGTTTGGCCCAGTCATGGCATCCCCTCCATCTCCCATGTCAGTCGTCTCTCTGGTCAACCCAAGACTGACAGCAACAAAAACAAAAACAGAAAACTTGACAGAAGCTACTTTTCTTTCCGCACAACTCTGAAGCTAAATAAAAAAAATTCTTCCAGTAGCACCTTAGAGACCAACTGAGTTTGTTATTAGTATGAATTTGCTTGAATACAGAAAAAACTGGAATTTGCTGTTCAAGGTTTATTGTGGGGGTGTTAGGTTCCCATGCGTGATAGGGGGCGCTGTTGAGCTCTGTGGAAATGTATGAGGCTTGTCACGTAGAGGTATTTTTTGAATTTCCAGGCAGATAGGACGATCCCACAGGGAGCCGTACCAAGAGAGGCCACGATCCCACGATTCTCCTCCATGACGTCCTTATGCAGAGCTCTCTGGTCAGGATCCAGCAATGCCCACTCCTCGTCCGTGAAACAAACAGCGACATCTTCAAAGCACACTGGGCCCTAAAAGAAAACGGAAATGTCCTCTTCTGAGACAGCAGAAATATGATCTGCTACACAATGCTCTGTTCTTTCCTTTCTCTTAATTGCTGTGTTGTTTCAATAGGATTGCTTTCAATAGGATTGACACTTTGACACGCATTCTGGAAACGTATGTCTACATGCTTGGTTCTGGCCTTCAACTGCCCAGATTCTGCCAACTTCAGACAGGGTTGATTGTCTTCCCAAACAGTGATGGGCAGGCAACAATCCCCATAGTTCTCTTGCACCAGGCATCTATAGAACTCCAGTTCCCTGCACAATTCCAACAGTGCAATGAACTCAGCCTCAGTAGAGGACAGCGCAATGAGACTTTGCTTCCGGGACTTCCACCCAACTAGAGATTCCCCTAACTTTATTACCATCCCAGATACGGACTTCCTGTCATCCAGATTCGCCCCGTTGCTATCTGCCCATCAAGTAAGCGCCGTCTCACCTGCAGCTGACAGCTTGAGACTGAAGTCCTTGGTATCCTGCAGGTAACGCAGCACCCGCTTGATACCACGCCAGGCATTTACACTGGGCTTTGATGCTTCCCTACTGAGCAGATTGGTAGCAAAAGCAATGTCTGGCCTGCTCCATTGGGACAGATACAACAGACTACCCAGAGCTGACTGGAAGAGCTCAGCGTTCTCGCACTTAATGCATTCTCCTAGCCGACTTGTCTTTAACGTGGCTTGTCTCCATGGGTGCCCTAACCCCTGCACAATCAGACATCCTGAACTTCTCAAGCAACTGCTCAATCTTGCCTTTCTGACTGAGCAAGAAGCTTCCATCTTCAGTCCTGTCTATCTGAACACCTAAGTAGATCCTTACTGCACCCAGGTTCTTGAGGTGAAACCATGTTCCAAGCTCTTTGGCAAACTTCTGCACCTGTTTGTTTGCCCCTGAGATGTGAATGATGTCATCAACAAAGACTAAAACCATTTCCTGTGACTCTCCTGACCCTTCAAGGTACAGGCAGCTGTCAGCAAGACTCTTCTTGAAACCTAGCTTCTCTAAGGCTTCATCCAGGTACAAATTTCAATTTCTGGCCGATTGCTTCAAACCATAAATAGACTTGTGAAGCCTCCATACAGTATTTGGCTCATTGCCCTCAAACGCTGAAGGAGGAAGCATGTACAGATCCTCCTGGAGCTCTGAGTTCAAATAGGCCACATCCAAGTGATACACCTGAAAACCTCTTTGTGCAACAATGGCTAAGAGCATGTGCAGAGTTTCACTTCTGGAAGTGGGAGCATATACCTCAGTATAATGCAGCCCTTTTGCTGTGTGAACCCTCTGGCTACTGGCCGAGCCTTGTACTGTGGTTCCCCTGTTGCTGTGGGTTTAAGACGGTAAACCCAGCGGCTGCTCATGGCCTGTTTGCCCACTGGCAACGTTGTGAGGGAGAACACACCTAGAGACTCCATTGAGCTCATCTCCTTCTGCATTGCCTCATGCCATTTCCTGGCTTCTTCCTGAGGCAGTTTCTGAACATCCTCAAAACTCTCGGGTTCACACTGTGCCATGCCAACCCACACACTTGTGACTGCAAACCTGTCAGGCGGTTTACCTTTTGTTGTGTGAGCTGAACATCTCAACCCAGTTTCAGGTACCCCCTCAGACCCACTAGAACCAGCTAGAATGTCCTTGGCCTCAGAGAGCTCCCCCTCTGACTTACTGCACCGTTTAGACTTCTCAGCTGAACCTGTGGGTGAGGAAGGAGCACTTCTCTGTTCAAGCTTCACAGCTTTAGAAGTTCTTCCCTCTACCTGCTCTGGGTCAGGACTCTATGCCTCAGCAGCTGAAAATATGGACTTAGTTGACATTTGGAGAATGAAGAACCCTCTGGGAAGAGAGGGAACTTTCTTCTCTGAGGCTAAAATGACATGGACAAGAATTGACCAAATCTGGGTAACCAGGGGATTGGCTCCGAAGATCAGCAAAGTGGAGATTTGCCCCAAAACTTGTTCTGACCATAATGCGGTCAAGATGGAAATGAAATTGATGCCAATTGGTTCCTTTAGATGGAGGATGAACGACACTCTGTTTAGGAATGACCAAGAAGGCCCAAAAAAACTCTAAGAGACTATTTTGAGATAAACATGAATACCACAGTGGAAAAAAGAGCAATTTGGGACGCAAGCAAAGCGGTTATGAGAGGATTCCTAATACAACAGAATGCAATTAAGAAAAGAACTCAGAATGAAAAAAAGGATAAAATCCTGGGAAAGATAAAGGAAGGAGAGAAGAAACTGAGAGCAAAACCAAAGTCACAGGAGATTCTGAAAGAGATAAAGTTCTATCAAGTACAATATGCGAAGCTGATGAATCAGGAAATAGAATGGAAGATTAAACAGATGAGGCAAAAGACATTTGAATCGGCAAATAAGTGTGGAAAATTGTTGGCCTGGCAAATGAAAAAAAGACAAAAACTCAATACTATTACGAATTTGGAAGTGGAAGGAAAGAATATACAGAACCCAATGGAGATAAGGAAGTGTTTTCAGAGGTATTTCAAACAACTTTATACACAGGGGAAGCAGAAAGAAATGGACATTGATCGATTTTTGAAAATAAATGGATTATACAAAATCTCTCAGGAAAAACAGCTAATGTTGAATTGTAAAATAACGGATCAGGAGGTGGAAGGGGCCATCCAGAATATGCAGTTAGGTAAATCTCCAGGACCAGATCGTTTGACTTCAAGATATTACAGATCCTTGAAAGAATGGTTAATACAACCATTGAAGGAAGTCTGCAATGAAATATTGGAAGGGAGACAGGCACCAGAGTCGTGGAAAGAGGCTTACCGTATTTTTCGCTCCATAGGGTGCACCTGACCATAGGGCACACCTAGTTTTTAGAGGAGGAAAACATGAAAAAAATATTCTGAATCAAATGTTGTACTAAACTATTTAAAGGAGCAAAGCGGGTGGCTCCTGTCCGCTTTGCTGCTTTAAAGCGAGCCTCAGAGGAGGGAAGGAAGGGGAACCATGGCTTATCTAAGTCCAGTTAATAATGCTGTGCCTGATTTTATATGCATCTCAAAGCCCTTGACATTTATACATTATAATGACAGGCCGAGATAGGCCTCCTGCAGAGGAGGAGGGCAGGAGAAGAGAGGGAGCCATCACAGATCAATGGGGAGAGCATGGAGAAGATCCCAAGTTCAGTCCTTGAAAGCTTCTCCGGGTAGGGCTGAGGGTGGGTCTCCTGAAACCCAGGTGAGCCTGTGCCCATCAGTGAAGACAGAACTGAGCTCAATGGGCTCAGGGGTCCTGACGTGCTACAGGGAAGGTCCCTCTGTTCCTGTTTAAATTAGCCCTTTCTTCAGAACCTTGGGGAATACAATCTTAGTTTGTTTTTAAAGGGAACGGCTGTAAACTCAGTGGCTTTGCATGCAGAACACCACACGTTCAATCCCCGGCTTCTCCAGGCCTGAAACTCTGGCAAACTGCTACCAGTCAGTTTTTAAGGGGGGAAAAGTGCGTCCAATGGAGCGAAAAATACGGAACATAACACTTATACCGAAAATAGAGACTGAAAAGACACAGCTCAAGAACTACCACCCCATATCGTTGCTTAATGTGGATTACAAAATTTTTGCAGATATTTTGGCTAAAAGATTAAAAAAGGTGTTAGTAGAAGAAATCCATAAAGACCAAGCGGGCTTTCTCCCGGGCAGACATCTGTCTGATAACATGAGGAATATAATTAACATTCTAGAAAAACTACACGTGAATATCAACACTAAGGCAGTTTTGATGTTTGTGGATGCAGAGAAAGCCTTTGACAATATTTCTTGGAGTTTTATGAAGAAGAATCTACAGGGGATGGGGGTAGGTCAAGGGTTTGAAAATGGTATAGGTGCAATTTATTCAGAACAAAAGGCAAAATTAATTGTGAACAATGTAGTGACAGAAGAGTTTAAGATTGAGAAAGGGACACAACACAGTTGCCCAATCTCCCCATTGCTTTTTATATTGGTCCTTGAGGTTTTGTTAAACATGATAAGAAAGGACCAAGAGGTTAAAGGTATACAAGTGGGAGCTAAACAGTACAAACTGAAAGCATTTGCTGATGATTTAGTATTGACCTTAAAGGAGCCAGAATCCAGTACTAAAAGGGTATTGGAACTGATTCAAGAATTTGGACAGGTAGCAGGTTTTAAGCTGAATAAGACGAAAACTAAGGTTTTAGAGAAAAACTTAACTGTGAATGAGAGAGAGAAGTTTCAGGAGGAGACAGGACTAACACTGGTTAAGAAAGTGAAATATTTAGGGGTTAACATGACTGCCAAAAATGTGAATTTATTTAAGAATAATTATGAAAAATGTTGGATTGAAGTGAAAAAGGATTTAGAAATATGGACAAATTTGAAGTTATCATTGTTAGGCCGAATTGCTGTGATAAAAATGAATGTGCTGCCAAGGATGTTGTTTTTGTTTCAAACATTACAAATTTTGGATAAGATGGATTGTTTCAAGAAGTGGCAGGAAGATATTTCCAGATTTGTTTGGCAGGGCAAGAAGCCTTGGATAAAATTTAAGATATTAACTGATGCTAAAGAAAGAGGCGGATTTGCCCTGCCAAACCTTAAACTTTATTATGAATCAGCTGCTTTTTGTTGGCTGAGAGAATGGCTGCTTCTTGAAAACACTGACGTGTTGGATCTAGAAGGTTTCAATAATGTATTTGGCTGGCATGCATATTTGTGGTATGATAAGGTAAAAGTACATAAAGCGTTTAAAAATCATATTGTTAGAAAAGCATTGTTTAATGTTTGGATAAGATATAAAGATTTGCTAGAAAACCCCAAGATGGTTGTCACCAATGGAAGCGAAGGCACAGAAAAACTCAATATGGAGGCCAAGTCCCCTCCTCTCTGGGGTTTCTGGCAAGTGATCGAACAGTGCGCCAGTGTGCAGCCTGCCTTTGCTCCTCCAATGTCAGACGTCTCCTGGCTCTGAGAGACAAACAGGGAGGGGGGCTTATGGCAGAAGGAGAGGGAGCCCCCGGTGGCTCCTCCTTCTCCTGACTCACCTCTGCCTCTTGACCTCCCTCCTCCCACTCGTCTCCTTCCTCTTCTGCCTCCAATTCTGGACTGCATTCTGACACAGAGTCTCCCAGCTCACTAAGCCCTGTTGCCCCTTCAGCTTCTGACACCTCCTCTTCCCAGGCGTCTCCCTCTTCTCCCTCTCACTGCTCATCCTTCCTCCAACTCCACTCCTTGGGCTCTGAGACGTCTTCGTTTCCTGGTTCCCCGGCTGCTTCCTCCCACCATTTCTCTGTCCCCAACCAGTCCATGACATTGCTCCATCCCTCGGCCTCTGTGCCCACAAGGCAGCTTCCCCTGACCTGATCTGGTTCCACAGCCGCTGCTTCCCTTCTGCCCCCATGAAAAGACGGATCAGGAGGTCTTGCTGGCATCATTCTGTCTCCTGAAAGAGAAAACAGGTAAGCAGGATGCCAGGAGTGCCCATGTCTCTCACAGGTATAACAGGGCATCTCTATCTACAGACGGGCCTTTGAGAAAGCCTTACCTGCTGAGTGCATTTGGACATTTGTGCCCATTTCATATGTTAGTCATGCAGAAATACATCTCTCCTCCTCGGGACCCTTGTTCCCAACTCCCCCCCCCCAAAAAAAAAACTTGATGAAAAGAAGCCAGAGATTAGTTGGGAAACCAACAGGATGAGACCAAATGGAGAAAAACCGCCTTCTTCCTACCCGGTGGCCTCTCTCTGGTGTCCAACGGAGGCCTCTCTGCCTCACAGGAATCCATGTCCATTTCCTCAAAACAATCCTTTTCCTGAAAAAGAAACAAGGATTCAAAACAGAGAATGAATGACAAGAAATAGCAGAAAGATAATGGAAAGGTAAAAAACTTTAAGGGTGTGAGATCTCATTCCATGGATGCCTTCCCAGAAAAAGGATGGGCCATCAGCAGAGCATTATGGGATGTTCTCCATCCTCTTTCAAGCCCCTAATAATAATAATAATAATAATAATAATAATAATAATATTTTTTTTTTGTACCCCACGCTCCCTGGCTGGAGCCAATCTTTTGGCGGCTAACATCATAAATCTAACACAGTATACAAAGAACATAAGAACAGGCAATCGATTAATTAAAATACTTCTTAAAATTAGTTCAAAACAAATTAAAATCTGGACAGACGGCAGTCCACTGGTATAATAATAATAATAATAATAATAATAATAATAATAATAATTTATTATTTATACCCCACCCATCTGGCTGGGTTTCCCCAGCCACTCTGGGCGGCTTCCAAAAGAATATTAAAATACTGTGATACATCAAACATTAATAACTTCCCTAAACAGGGCTGCCATCAGATGTCTTCTAAAAGTCTGGTAGTTGTTCTTCTCTTTGACATCTGCTGGAAGGGCGTTCCACAGGGAGGGCGCCACTACCAAGAAGGCCCTCTGTCTGGTTCCCTGTAACTTGGATTCTCGCAGTGAGGGAACCATCAGAAGGCCCTCGGTGCTGGACCTCAGTGTCCAGGTAGAACGATAGAGGTGGAGACGCACCTTCAGGTATACTGGACCGAGGCCGTTTAGGGCTTTAAAGGTCAGCACCAACACTTTGAATTATGCTTGGAAAAGTACTGGGAGCCAATGTAGGTCTTTCAAGACCGGTGTTATATGGTCTCGGCGGCCGCTCCCAGTCACCAGTCTGGCTGCTGCATTCTGGATTAGTTGTAGTTTCTGGGTCACCTTCAAAGGTAGCCCCACGTAGAGCACATTGCAGTAGTCCAAGTGGGAGATAACCAGAGCATGCACCACTCTGGCGAGACAGTCCGCAGGCAGATAGGGTCTCAGCCTGCATACCAGGTGGAGCTGGTACACAGCTGCCCTGGACACGGATTTAACCTGTGCCTCCATGGACAGCTGTGAGTCCAAAATGACTCCCAGGCTGCGCACCTGGTCCTTCAGGGGCACAGTTACCCCATTCAGGACCAGGGAATCCTCCACACCTGCCCGCCTCCTGTCCCCCAGAAACAGTACTTCTGTCTTGTCAGGATTCAATCTCAATCTGTTAGCCACCATCCATCCACCAACCAACTGCCTCCAGACACTCACACAGGACCTTAACTGCCTTCACCGGTTCTGATTTGAAAGAGAGGTAGAGCTGGGTATCATCCGCATACTGATGAACACCCAGCCCAAATCCCCTGATGATCTCTCCCAGCGGCTTCATGTAGGTGTTGAAAAGCATGGGGGAGAGGACAGAACCCTGAGGCACCCCACAAGTGAGAGCCCAGGGGTCTGAACACTCATCCCCCACCACCACTTTCTGAACACGGCCCAGGAGGAAGGAGCGGAACCACTGTATGACAGTGGCCCCAGCTCCCAGCCCCTGAAGACGGTCCAGAAGGATGTTATGGTCGATGGTGTCAAAGGCCGCTGAGAGATCCAGCAGAACTAGGAAACAACTCTCACCTTTGTCCCTAGCCCGCCGGAGATCATCAACCAGTGCGACCAAGGCAGTTTCAGTCCCATGATGAGGCCTGAATCCCGACTGGAAGGGATCCAAATGGTCCGCATCCTCCAGGTGTGCCTGGAGTTGTTCAGCAACCACTCGCTCAATCACCTTGCCCAAGAATGGAAGATTTGAGACTGGGCGATAGTTGGCCATCGGGGCCGCAATAAAGATGGTTTTTAAAGAAGCGGTTTAAAGCATCCCCTACCACTCTCTGGAAACCATTTGGATCCATTAAGTGGTGGGCGCGGACCATCCGAATTGGTCCCACCTTCCTGCAGAGGGGAAGAGTCGTGGAGAAGTCAAGTTGCACCAGGAAGTGATCTGACCATGGCACTTCTTTCGTTTCGCTTTTACTTAGTGTAAACACCAGGTCCAAGGCATGTCCGTGGCTATGGGTTGGGCCAGACTTATGCAGGGACAGCCCCATGGAGGCCATGCTTTCCACGAAGTCCCGAGCGGCCCCTTGTAAAGTCGTGTCGGCATGGATGTTAAAATCCCCCAGGACAACCAAGCTAGGTGTCTCTAGGAGAACATCCGCCACGACCTGAAGCAGCTCGGGCAGGGAATCCTTGGTGCAGCGGGGAGGTCGGTACACC